GGATTATGGCTCCACAGAATATCCAAACGAGCCCACCGCGCCACGCCAATGGACTTCAGTTTCCGCATTCACGGGACAATTTTGGAGCGACACCGCGCCATTTGGACGAATGGAGCGATCGTGAATGGCCGGCCTTAGTGTGTGTGTGGCAGTGGCAGTGTGGAAGCCTGATATTGTTCTCTTGTGACTGAGCTGTGTTAACAACATGCCACCTGTTCGTTGCAATTTCCTTTCTGGTAACTGATAACGCCTCGTATCACAGCACTCAGACAAACCACCGACGTCTTAATCAAAGGACGAAATGAAAGCCTGGCTATTGGAAAGAAACATCCCGTTTTGTGACAACGTGTTCAAAGCTCAACTGTACGATTTAATCAAATTAAATAAGTCACAGCACAAATATTATGTGATTGGGCACAACAAATCAACGTATTTCGCGGCGCTGACCCCAGGATACATCGCGTATTTTCTTTCCCACGGCCATTGTCTGAGCAGTTGGTTTCGACGACTATGTGGTAAAGGAAGAACTGCGTCAGGAACACAGGAAGAAGACGATGCAATTGGAACGAAGCGTAACATCCGGTCTAATTGTGTCTTCAAGGCGAACGCGTCGGCATTAACAACCAGCGATGACCGCCTGTCCTCTTCTCGTTGACATCGTCTGTTATGCAAAATACTTTAATCACTGTTAAAGAATTCTCGGCCCCGTGGTCTGCATGACGGACCATGAGACCACCGTCATGACCCGAAATCTTTTGTCAGTGCGTGTCCTTGAGCTTTTGGTTGCTCCAAGTCGAAGTTCATAAGATTTTTTTGTTGGTGAAAATGACAAGCGACCGGTTCCCGCTTCAGCGTTAGTTTTAAACAAAAGTGCAGTTGCCCTCTGCTTCCACCTGCACAGAACGCGGAGTCTCAACGCCTCCTTTGTCCAGTTACCATTCTAACCTTCATCAGCCCATGCACGAAAGGAAATCCTTCCTTCCCAAGCCGTCGTCCTGTTGTGTTCCTCCGCCATGCGTTTCGCTGTTCTGTACGGACTTGCGTTCCTCTCCGCCAGGTCACCATGCTCATTCCGCTGGACAAGCTTCGCTTCCTCTACCCCGCGTACGTCCTCGCCATCGTGTCGTTGGGGTACCTCCTAGCCGAGCTGGGCCACTTCCTGATCGGGGTGACGAGCAAGGCAACCGCCAAGGACCTGCACTACGGCGACATCACCTGCCAGCTCAACCTGTCGGACGTCCTGATCGCGGACCTGCCGCAGGTCTGCGAGAACGCCACCACGGAGGAAACGTGAGTGGATTTGGCTCAAGACTGGAACGAGGAACTGAGAGGGGGGTGTAAGTCAGGAACACGGGTATGTCGCTGTCACCAGCTGGGAATGTGGCCACGAGTGCTTGGTGACAGCCTCAGGTGGGAGCAATGCAGTATGTAAAACATTCACACCGAAAGGTTCTTTATCCATCGAGGTTGAGAGCTTGGCAGGCCTGTTTCATATTTTGGGGGCTCCCGGTTCAAATCTCTGGCTGCAACTCCATAATCTAAGGATTTTCGGGGGTTTTCTTGTTCCGTTCATGGAAGTCCTGGTACAGTCCTTGATATGCATCACCGCCATTTCTTCTGCATTCCCACTTCACTCGACGTGCTCGTGACAAACTACGTTGAGGCGGCCTAAAGACAGATGAAGAGAAATGTCACGTCTTTTAGTTCACAGCCTGTTTGTTGAATTTTGATGGAATCTATCACAAAAATTTGGTGATGCGTGATTAGGTGGGTCAGTTTATTGAAAATCTAAGTACGATATCTCGTTAAGTACACAATAAATTAACATGATTTTTTACATGAAATGTATTGTGTGATGTGAACAGCTGAAACAGCATTGTTTAATGACGTGCAGGTGTATGCTGATGGAGATGAATGGCACGCGCTACTGTGAGTGGACTTACAATGGTCTTGGGCTGGACTACCAGATTCTGGCTGGGCCCAGCTTCATCGCAGTGTACACGGTCGTGGGCGTCATCTTGGGCATAGTCGCAGACCGCTTCAACAGGTAACTGCAGTTTCAAACCTGATTCCACAAAAAGAAAGTCATTACTGGAAATGCAATTAGTATGCAGAATCTTTTCTGTCTTTACAAATTTAGTACAAACTGACCAATTTTCACAAAATTTGGTATGGTAATGCCATTCGAGGACAGCCCAGCTTTGTACTTTTTAATTTCAATATAATAGATAATGACAATACGGCGGACAAACAAACTTCTGAGGTGGGAATGGCACTAGTGCTGTTTAGTATGGGGTGCTAACATGGCGTGTGGTAAAAGATCACTAAAGATATTCAGTTGATGTGATTTGTGGCCGTGTGAAACTTTGAAGTTAGATCTGACAAGTTTAATGCAGACAGAAACTACGTTTTTGTCTTTATGAAAATGACGATGACGACGACTATTTCTGTAACGTATTTACAGCTGCAATCAATAAAATGAATCCTATGACGGCCTGTACGTGCTAACTCAAAGGTAAACATTAATTTTGTTCTTAGATTGTCTGTGTGTGTGTTTGCAGGGTGCGTGTGCTGGCTGTTTGCACTCTAATCTTCAGCATCGCCATCCTGCTGATGGGCACCGTCAAAGAGTTTTGGCACCTCGTGCTCTTGCGGATAGTACTCGCTGCAGGGTAAGCGCTCCAAACTTGCCTTCCTTATGTGATTAGAAATGGAAATTTGCCTCGCCATGAAATGGAGGTGAAGTGCCACACTTGCTGATTCATGCTCCGGCTGCTTTATCCCTATCAAAAGAGTCTACAGCATCCATTAGACAGGAGGCTGAGATTACACTAGAGCTGCACTGGATTTGGAGGTGTGAATACGTACTGCTGTACCTACACCCACACAGAGCAGCACATCAAGACAGGAAACGATCCAGTTGATGCTTAAACTTACCTGAACCTGACATTATTCTCCTAATTCCATTTTGTTACAGTCTTGGGCTTTTATGTGATACATCGTAAAGCAGAACTGATTAAACATTCTCTTTCTTTTAGACTGTTTTTGATCTGGAGGAGTGTCACGCGTATGTTTAGCGACATGAACTTCACTGCATTTTAATTCAAACGTCTACAGTTTTCTAATTTTGCTATAAATATCTGATGCACTGTCTGCTCCTCTGTATTCACTGTTTCCGCTGTTGATTCTTCTGATTTTCCTTGGCCTCTCCAGGAAAATGCTTTGATAGTGTCTTGAAGTAGGCCACAATCGCATTCTTCGTATTCTCGTGTGTTGATGAATGGAATTGTCAGTGTTGTTAAATAATCTGAGAAACAAACCAGCGGACTAAGAGACAGTACACTTACCTATTGAATCACTGGAGTCAAAGCCTTGCAGGATTGCAACAGCAGATGGTAATAAGAGGCCTGTCCTTCACCAGGTCTTTGCACAATTTATTGTTAAAGGTAATACGCATGAACTGGGCAGTTAATTCTAATCTACATATCAGAATTCATATCATTGCCATCTATTACACTTGCCCCATATGTACTTTTTTTTTACTCTTAACTAACAGATGTTAATTGCCAATGTCCTACTGTGGCTGGATGGGTTTGGGTAGCTTGAGAACTGTATTTACAAGAGGAATTTACAGTTTTTAGCTCTCACCTCCTTAAATGACTCTGGTGTCATGCAAAATTACTTTTCTGAGCAAATGTATTAAAAACAAGAATTTGCATGTTTGTATGAACAGCGTAGTTTGTTTGTGGTTCTGCTTTGTTGTTAACTGCTATTACAAGACGCTGACCTGTAGATCTGCTTCAACTTGCAGGGAGGCTGGATGCAACCCCATGTCAACTGGCATCCTCTCGGACATATTTACTGAAGAGAAACGAGGTCTTGTCATGTCCATCTTCAACTGGGGTATCTATGGTGGATATGGCATTGCATTCCCTGTCGGCAGATATGTCCCCCTGATGAACACGTGGGACCTGGTAAGTGACCCTCATTTAGCAGCCGAAGCCCACGTGCTGATCTAGTGTAGTTTAGCAGAGCATGTCAATGAATGTGGGCAACATTGCACTGCCCATAACCAGTCAATAACATTTATAGCTGGCGCATTTTGCCAGATGGCGTGGTCGAGTGGTTAGCACTTCTGTTTTTTATCCAGGGGGGGTCCCGGGTTCGTATCCCGGTATGGAGACTGGCTGTCCTGACTGAGATTTGTGTGATTTTCCTCAGTCCTTCTAGGGAAATGCTGGGACAAAACCTTAAATTAGGACGTGACCTCTTCCTTCCATGTTCTTTTGAAGTCATTATTCACAATCATCATATATTGAACTGGCTAACGGTGTTAGAGATTTGAGAATGCTATTGTATAAAGTGTGCATTATGGGAAATTTTATTGTGTTGGTGCAGGGTTGGCGTCTGTGCTATTATGGCGCTGGCATTGTTGGCTTTATCATCACACTTCTGACGGCCTTCACCTTGCGAGAGCCTGAAAGACAGACCATTGGAGAAGAAAATGATACAAATGCAAACGCTGCTGTTGTGAGGGCAGGTGAGGAGATTACACCCAAGACTGGCGAATGGAAAGTGATGCTGCAGCCTCGTATAATCATGTTATGCCTCGCGGCCTCCATTCGACACACAGGTAAGCACGTTGTTTGGGTTGGAGAACTCGTGAGAAAGGATAACACACTAACACCACTCTGTTATTGTTTCTTCTAGTCTCAGAGGCTCTTTGTGACCAATTATGTTCCTGTGTTACTGTGAACTGCTGCGCTGTCATGGTGATGAGCCTCACAGTTTTGTTTTGTGTGTGTAGGGGGTCTGTGCTTTGCGTACAATTGTGATTTGTACTACCAGAACTACTTCCCTGACTATGACCTTGGGTGGTGGCTGTTTGCTGTCACCATAGTTGTTGGCAGTATTGGTGTTGTGTTTGGTGGCGTTGTCTCTGACAAGTTTGTGGCCAAGATGGGTGTCAGGTCTCGAGTGGCTGTTCTTGCCATCAGCCAGGTGAGCGCACACTTTTGCTTTTCGTTACCTGGTGCAAGGAACTCGGCACTTGAGACTTTTCCATATTCAGTCTATCCAAATGGGATTTTTCAGAATCATTGTCTTTGATGTTAATTTATTGTTGATCCAAATTTTGTAGTGAAGAAATTACATTTGTTACTTCTCATATCATTAAATGTGTAATCTTGTTGATATAAATGTGGATAAATATATATTTTAGCTCTATAAAATATGTGTTAAGTCTTCACTTCAACAGTGTCTTCTAATCATATTTTGATTTTTACTCATGTCTTATAGACATATGTGTTATTAATTTTCATATCTTGCGTGAATTTTACGTATTGAATGATGTGGGTATTTATTTTCATTATATTCTTAATAACTTACATATCAAAATCAGTAAAAATTGTATTAGCTTAGCTATGCATTTTCTTGAACAGCAAGATAATATAATAATGAATG